ACCGCGTTACCATATCGCGCGCCGCGGTGATAAATAATATTTGCTTTCTGTATGCATTCGTATTATGGTAGTAATGAATGAATGTAAGAATGATTCCATTGTCATGACACTATCTGTAGCCCGATCCATTGTCCTTTTCGCCGGCCAAGTCGGTTGACAACTGAGAGTGCCAGGAGTGTTGGTGGCTGGAGGAAAACGTGCTAAATCGTCTTTCAGCCCTCCTGCATTACAATTGTAGGGCTTCGCTGTTCTTCCCATGGGTTCTCCCTTGGCTGAGGAACCCTTGTTTTGTCTCCCAACTCAACTTGTATACCTGCAAAGTACGTACGTGTGATGATGTTATGTAATCGGTACGACGCGTCCTTGTGAAGTGTATAGTTCATGTGTGTGCATGTGTGTAAGGTGCGGAAAATAGTGTAACCGAAGCACAAGGAACTATTTTGAGCTCACACACAGTCAAAAAAATAGCAGTTCTGACGTGCATACGACATGCATACAGTGTTGTTGGCCAGGGAAGTAAGCCCTACCTAGTCGTCTGAATTCCTCAATTTTTCTACCATGCTGTCACGTGGGACGATGTTCATACACGAGCATGACATCACGTAGAGAAGGTCACGCTCATCTTGCTTGTGTAAGGTTGTGTAATCGTTAAATTTTGTCTCTGTACTGTCTGTACATGATCACGAGGCGTCATGTGTAATAATGGTGTTGAGACTGAGACCGCATGTGTGTGAGCAAGTGGCTATCGAAGTGTGCTAGCGAGATCCTGCTGGGCCCCGGTAGGCCAGTTACACTTGCATTATTGTGACATACACATTGAGAATGCTGCATAGTATGGAGCTGGTCTGTGAGTATCCTTAGGCACAGTGTGAGAGCCCTATTTACCTGAGGTGTTGCAACTCCACCAGTAAATCTGATTAGTTAATGCGCCTCATTAGTCCTACTCAATATTGGGCTAAATTGATTTAGATCAAAGCATAGTTGGGCTCTGTTGTTGCATTTCAGGCTGAGGCCTGGGGTTAGCGCTGTATACACAGACCTAGAGTGTGGTCACAATGGGAGAACATCTATGGATAATACCAGTCCATTACCTCATGTAGTAGTGTGGTATAGAGCGGGTGCCTGTGTGTGTGTGTGTGTGTGTGTGTGTGTGTGTGTGTGTGTGTGGTGTGTTGTGTGTGTGAAGGCCATCATAAATATTCTGGAGGAAACTTGCTGCAAGCCTTAGTGACACAACTTGCTTCATTTCTGTCTACGTGGTCCTCTCTTTTTCTGGCAATTTGTTACCGCAGGTTACCTCTAGTATGATGGCTTAGAACCATAAGTATGAGCACTTACTTTCCTATAACAGCAGTCGTTGGCATATTACCATGATAAATACACTACTTGTAACCAATACAAAAAAACATCCGTACACACCGGTAACTTGAGTTAATTTCTTCCTATTTGAAGGCACATCTGATCAAGTGCATCATAATGCATGTTTTGTGAACCGCTCTATGGTTGCTTGGTTTTGGGGCGGCTTTCTGTCCTTATCTTTATAAAGTATTTAACCCGAGCAGTGTTTACAATCCCAGTGGTTGTGTCTAATTGTATAACCCCGTAATTGAGAACAATATTAGATATTAGATGCTGCATTTGATATCAGACACTCACATTTGTATGCATGCATACGTACATACCATAATATTCGTTATACGCAACTTCGGAATGCTTCACAAGTCAGATAGTGTGTATCGCAGAATTACCAACTAGAAGTATAATGCAGGAGGGGAGCTATTATTCTTGACACCTGAATGAATGTAGCTTGGGTGTCCAGGTGTGTTTTGGAGGGAGGGCGCTATCCGTTACTGCTCAATTTCACCGTCCATTTCCTCCCAGGGAGATTCATAAGCCCTCATGTGCAGAACCGCTATGTCTGACAGTGTCCGTCTCACAGCCAGTATTGTCAGTGAAATACAGCGAGATCCGCGGGAAATACAATATGTAGCCTCGGGCACCCCAGTCAATGTTTTCGATTGAGCAGATACGTACCCAGACCAAAGCGTAACACCTGTGCCTTTGGTCAGTTTTCATACATTATACTAGCTGGCCTTCAAATTCTGCTCAAACCAGTGGAACGAAAAGGTATGCCATTATAAAGTACGACCTGCAATGTAAGAAGGCAATCACAGAGAAATTTGTTCATAATTTGTTACGGTAGAATTTTGTTGTTGTCCACCAGGAATGCAGAATTTACGTGCGATTTTCTGCAACAACAGCAGCTACTGAGTGTTATCCACGTGTGCCATCAAGAAATTATGCCCACACATGAGTTGATCACATAATGAATCTACCACGCTACGTATAAAGCTAGCTGCACTTTGGTTACCTTCAGCTCCGAGTGTCAGCTTCAGAACGTAATGGCACAGACACAAGGGATGAATAAATGCACTCTGGACCCTATCATAATTACTATGTAAGACCAGCGTGTGGTACTGTGTACGGATTATACAATGTGTGACATCAGTTTTGATTGAATAGCTGGCTGCACATTGTGACATTGTGTAACTGTGATTTCACACTTTACCAACAAATTCAAAACACGCATGTTCGTTGTAGACCACTTTGATGGATGACAGCGTTCCTAGAATATTAATGACTGTTGTTCATAGCGAGCGCTGTTTTCATTCCCTTTAGTTATCTTTATCAATATCACCCATAGTGGTAATACATTTGGGATGTGCGGGGGATCGTAAAGAACTGAATTCTCCCACACGGCTTGGTACAGCACTCTAATGCACTGATCAACACGCACGCAGACCGTTTTGTAAGTGGTTACTCGATTGATTGATTTGTGACAAATGAGTCTTTGTAATGGGATGTTGGAAGTGGGGTGTCGGGTTACACTCGCCTGTATTCATGTGGTAAGTGCCGGAACCGCTGTCTGGTGTAATTCGCAGCTCCCCGGGCTGCACTGGGAATTGGTGGATTAACCTCGGGACGGGGGAGTATTAGGTGGCTGATTTCCTCTGGAGACCTGTTGTACAATTCCGGTGTATTACTGGGACTTTGTCCTCTGGTGGTTTAGCATTCCTGCGGTCGACGGTAATTAGATTGCGGTCATGAACACTTCTTTCTCTCTCTGGGTAGTTAGTATAGCTAACTCATTAATTCATTAAACGATTACGCTACAATAATTTCAATTCACAGAGACAGGGATAGTGTTGCTGGTAATGGTTCGGGTTTTGATAGCTGTGGTTTGTACTGGTACATCATGCAGTCAACCACAGATCTAACTGAATTTTCTGCTTATAGCCGCGTTTTCACCGTTGGAGTGAAGGGTATTTGGATCCGGGCCATACCCCTGCAATTTCAGGAGGTAATTGGCTCAATCTGCAGGGCAGTGTCTCGCAATTTGCACACGGGCGTGAATGGATGAGCGTGAGAAACTGGTTCTGTGCCGTGCCTGGCTCGAAATCTCTGTCGCCTCATTCCCAGCTCCAGTCATGGATATTAGCAACCGACCACACGTGAATACCAACAGTTAGTCTCGAAGGAAGCGACGTGGGTTTTTTTAGGTTTACTCCACTATCTCTCGGAAAAGTGTCGTCGTTCCATCTTAGCTGGCTCAGTAGAGACATTGTAAGAGGGAGTGGGGAAGATTTGCTTTTGTCTCAGAGTTTTAGCTTGGTGCATAGTGACTTGGTTACTAGGCCTGGGCTCGACTCCGGGTAAAAGTTCGAGCCGGGACCGGCAAAGGGAGACAAGTTCATGATCTACCTCACCAACTGGGGCTTCCTGTTCTGGGTCGCCTACCTCATCTCGGCAGCCGTGGCGGTCACGGTGAACTTCATCCGGGCGTGGGCCTGCAACCACGTCCTCTATTTCCCGAGGAGGGACTCGCCCACCCGGCAGCTCATGGTGCTGTGACTGTAGTTCCTAGCAGCTTTAGATCAATGTCCATAAATGGTCATATGTACAATGGACACACACTAAAGGGAAATCACGAGGAAAGAAGTGGGGAATAGAAAATGTTAAGTGTTTGGTGTGGGCAGGGAAGTACATTTACTGCATGGTTCTAAGTGTACGTACGTCACCATTCAACTAAAGGTGGTTGAATCAATTTGATTTATGACAGAATTGACAGGAGAAGAGAAAGTGCCGACTTCTCTATATCTTAGTATTTTGGATGTGTTTGTTGTTCCCAATATTGGGTAATCAGTATGTTTATGTGGTTATGAAAACAAATACCGGGATGGTACGTTTATGTATAAGTACACAAGCAAGGAGAGATATGGATAGTGAGTTGGATCTGGTATCAGTGTATCGGTATTGATTGCAGGGGTGCCCTCGTTCACACCAGACGTTATGTATGTTGCACTGCAACTTGAGAGAATTCGCTAATGTATTTGGTTACATACACAACCGCATTTTGCAGTACGTACCTTGCGAAGAGCATATACACTATAATACAGTATTGAGACAGGGTGTATAATAATATAGCGCTTATCTACTTGGCAGCTATTGGGCCTTCTTGTATATTACCTGGCTACGAGGTAATCAAATAAGTCCTAGTTTTTTGTTTTTTTAATTGAAAGGTGAGAGTGTTAGTCATTTACGGTGGCACGTTCATTCAGCGATTGTTGATATAGTGATTGGTTGGGATCGATTGTGGTCAAGTGTGTATTATGAGACCATGGCTATAGTAGGGTATGGGAGAGGAGTGTTCAGTGTGGAGGGGGGACTACGCCGCAGGCAGGCAGGCAGGCATACGCGACCGACACTCTCAAAACACCTTTATTACCGACGTCTCTCTACATGGTCTGTCTGGGGCAGTCTGTTTGACAACACCTCGTTTAGAGTTGTGTTTATGTTTTCCCGCGTTTGGGAATCCAATCACTGTCAATCAGTATTTTGGTAGAGTTTCATCTAGGGGGGTATACCCTTGACTATTAAACATCGTTATTGAGAGAGGAAATTCCAATATCTTCCACACCTGCACACACACACACATGCAGCCACAGGTGCTAAAGATAGTAGAGCGTGCAGCCATTAAGAACCTGCAGTTGAAGACAACTATGCGAGAGGCAATGGAACTAGCCAGTGAAGGTCAGTCTGCTAGTAGTACTGTTGGAAACAAGTGCTGGGTTGGAATCCAAAGGTGGCACACACACACACACACACACACACTATCTTCAAGACTAAGTCTTGTAGATGATACCATATATTTTGCAAGGTCACATAATTAGAGTAAGATTGAGCCATTCTCTAGAGTAGAGCCTTTGTATAATTATACTATAATCGAATTTCATGCATGTATGCACATACTATAGGAGAGGTGCCCCTTACACAAGTAAAGTAATGATAGAAATGACGTGTAAACTAGGCAGGCTTGCCATCCTCATCAATTATAATAATCATGTAGGTTTTTGTGTCGGAATTGAGTTATGATGCTATGCATCCTTTTTCGGACTGCCCATTTTAACTCGTTAATGTGACTCTTGGCTGTGTTGCAGTCCTTGCACCTGATATATCTACTGGTAGAATAATCCATGTGTATGATGGAATGTATGGGTTTTCAACTTACTACTTAATACATAATATGTACCTGTTGCTCTGTTGGCATGTGCTAGATTCATGTTACTAGGAGTCTGTCCAGCAGAGGCCGAGGGGTTTGGTTTTGGTGTAGTTCCACCAGTTCCACCTCCCTCACCTCTACTGTGGGCCCTTGTATCTAGCTCCTTTCTCTAATATGCCTGTAGCTAGCCTAGACACGGACACAAGAGGCAGAAGGTCCAGTTCGCACACACGATGGAGGTGTCTCACACACTTAAGTTTTAAGTATTATACAAAACCCCATGTTTTGTGTTCCATCCCATGCACAAATAATTGATACACACTATGTATATGTAATTTAGGTATCTGATATCTCTAAGTCTGTATTGTATGATGTCCTCAACTTGTAGGTGAAGAAAGCATGGAAGTGATAGTGTCAACAAACTCTACTGGGCCTACCAAATCACAGACCTGAAAAACTGCACACATGGGTAAGCCTTGGGGTTAGTTTTTCCAGGAAAGATAGAGCTGTTCATTCTTGGTTCACATGTCTGTGGTTACCCACTGAAGCATGCAAGTAACACTACAGTTCCCTTGACTTATTCCTCCAGAGCACTTAGAGAATTTTTATCGGTTAGTCAGGGTTGCCTACCTGTGTGGGATTTTTCTATTTATTTCTGTGGTGGCCACTGCACCTACCGTAATGTGTGTTCTGTGTGATTCTAAATACACCCGAAATTGAACTTCTCCTTCCCTAGCCAAGAGTGTTGCATTCTAGTATATACCAACAGTTTTGAAATGGCTATACCATAGTGTAGCTATACACCCACTTATATCCCAGCTGTGCATCTTCTGCTAAGTGTTGACTGGATGGTGAAAAGTTGCCACCTAGTTAGAGCCAGAAGCCAGATGTCAGACCTGCAGGTGAGAGCTGAGCCTAGGGTTTGTAGGAAGCCATGCACTGCCACCTTCAGAAAGGCTTGGCAGAAGTTCAGAGGGGGAAGTAGCACAAGTGCTCTGGCACTTTGTCTTTATTCTTAACCAAATCACTCCATGAGGTGTGATTATTGTAGGGGCCCCCCTGTTTATGAATGATTGGGTGTCCAGTAACAACACTTGTTCTTCTGAAAGGCAATAGAGACTCACTAAAAGTAGGGGTCTCCTTCCGATTAGGACAGTAATAATAATTGTACACGTGTCACACAACCAGAAGTTCTTTTCATCTTCCCCCGCTGCACATGGTAAGGGAGTTTGCATGTCTACACCTTAATCAAGCTTCCAGCTTGTTCAGGCTTTCATGTGAAACACTCCTGCACCTACCAACCCAATGCTATGGTGAATATGAGACTCTGTTCAACCTATATTTCACGATGTAAAACAGGTGTCATTAATATGCAGCAACAATGGCGAGAATGTTTGATTTCCAATATTAGTGCATGCTAATTTCAGGGCCCCTCCAGTAATGTCCTATACCACTTTTATCCTCATGTAGAAAAACAAGTGGATGTGTGCAAATTGAAACGTGACTCCTGCTCACACATTTTTAATGTTTTGTAGTATTTATATTAACTGTATGGTTGTCTTTGTACTTGAATGATTGTCAATTCTGTTTTTTCCCAACGCGTGCGCTTAGGCTGTATTATGACGAGGCGATAAAGAGATCGAATTGCATCCGCGTAAGCAAATACCAGCAGCCACAAGAATGCAAAGAGCTGCAAAATAGGGTATAAAAGCAGTCAGCAGTGGCTCGCAGGTCATATCCTCCAATCTCTGTGCCTCGGGAGTTGCAGCAGTAAACTAGCTCCCCGATTTGTCGCCTTTGGAGCGTGATATAGCGGAGACGCAGCCCGGGCAGCTCATCACTGGCAGTACGCAGTCACTTACGGCAGCAAGCACACTTCCCTTCTCCACCTCCTACACCCTACACAGCGAAGAAGTCACAATGAGCTCTCCGATGCAGTCCCTGGGCGACTCGCCCATGAGCCTCCCAACCCCCGGCACGGAGCGAGAATGCTCCGGGTTCGCAGCAGTAGCTGCAGCTGCAGCGGCAGCGGCGGCAAACGCCGGCAACCTCAACAACAACTGCACATCCACGCAGCAGCAGCAGGGGATGAGCAATGGCACCTACTGCCAGCGTCGGAACAAGTCGGCGCTGGGGAAGCACCGCCACCAGCCGTACGACCGGAGCCCCGGCGGCGGGAGTACATGCAGCACGTCGTCGGACGAGAGCGGCAACGAAGACGGCGAGACGGATCCCCAGGGAAAGCCGGACCAGCACGTGCGGAAGAGGACGGCGGCCAACGAGCGGGAGCGCAAGAGGATGCACACGGTCAACTCGGCCTTCGACCAGCTCCGTGAGCTGGTGCCCACCTACCCGTCCTCCAGGAAGCTCTCCAAGATCGACACCCTCAAGCTGGCCTGCACCTACATCCAGGACCTCAAAACGCTGCTCATCAACTCGCACATCATGCCGCACGGGGAGGACGTCGTTTATCACCCGGACGGCTACGCCACCACCAGCCCCTCTCCCGTCTACCCCGGAGTCCACGTAAAGGCGGAGGCTCGGTACGCAGTGTCCCAGGACTACCCGGCCTCAGCCTGCACCTACCCTCCCTTCAGAGTGCAGCAGTCCTACATCTCGGTGAGTCATAGTAAACACGTAGAAGCGTGGCTGAGGTCCTTGTGTGTTTTAGCTACTCTGCAAACACTCTAGCACGAGCATGTGGTTTACTTTCTCTCTCCCTCTTGATTTCCTATGCAGGATCAAGACTTTAGTGCCTCGGAACCAGAGAACCCCTCACCACCTTACTATGCCCCAAGCTCCCAGGCGTCTGCAGCGGTCATAGCAGTCCGACCACTGTCTCTCAGTCGAACAGCCAGCGACTCTGCTGTCTCGGTCCACATGCAGGCTGCCCAGCAAGTCAGCATGAGCAGCCAGCAGCTCCCTCAGTCAGTCCCCTACCCCTGCCATGCTCCGTCCAGCTGCCCTTCTCTCGCAACAGTCCAACACACGTCTCTTCCAGTAGCCCCTGCTGTCACAAGCCCAATCCAAGGCCACTCCTCCTTGCCTTGGCAGAGAACTGGTAGCGTTCCATACCCTTGTGTGTACAGTCAATAGAAACGGTCACTATCGATTCACTCTTAGTTTTTTCCTGTTTTTTTGTTGGTTTTTCTTGTGCTGTGCTAGGGGATAAGTATTTGCTATCAAGTTCATGTCCACATGACTAACTTTTATTCGTCCTTCTCATCTAATTTTTTTCAATCGCAATCCCTTTTACGCATGTGCCATCTTTTTTGTTTTTGTACAAAATACCTGTTTGTGCTTTGTGTGTGTGTGAGTCCAAATTTTCTCAGGTATTTCATTCATCACTGCTTCAACCTCAGACATGAAACAACTTGTTCAGTTCCGTGTATAATTGTGATAAAAAAACTTTTGAAATTAAGTTTGGCCCGTTCACGTTTGGAATTCGGTGCAAACGTGAAGCAATAATCATTACTGCGGGAGTCTTCAAAGAATGCAATTTATTAATTGTGATTGAAACATTCAAAATTGAAAAAAAAGAGGCCAGTAGTAAGGTGGACAGTAGTGTCATTGTTAGAGTTCTGTTTCCATGGGGTCAGGGCCGGTGGAGATGGGTATGGGGCCAACACCTGGAGACTCGTTCCCTAGTCCCTCCTCTGGCCACTCTCGTTCCTCCTCCTTCTCCTCATGTAGCTCAACAACTACCTCTTGAGGTTTGCTGTCCGTCTCCTCCCCAACAAAATCCACTTCTCCTACCCCATCTTCTTCATTCACCGGAGGGAGAGTGCGAGCTGGGCTGCCAAGTCCCGAGAGGGAATGGCGAAGCCTACTCCCAATCCTTTTCCTATATACAAGGATCCCAAAAGACAAACCACTCAAAGCTATCACGTTTGACTAATAGCACAAAGAATGGCAATCAGGGCTATAAGGTGACCATGAAGAGTATAATGTTGCAAGAGGCTCTTTTGGGGTGAATGTGATTCTGCATACCTTCTCTGGCGCTGCTGGTGTCTCGACCTGATCCTGAGTCTCTGGACCGCCACTGGCTCGAAGCGGTGATCGCTGACTACGTCCCTCTCGTTCCGCGAGAGAATGTGCGAAAAGTGAGACTCGTGGGGCTATGGAGGCATACACAGTAGTACATCACTTTTTTGGGCATGGTGTATATACAGGTGAATATAAGAAGGATGAATAAGCTTTCAAGTCACTTCCCTAATCGGAAGTGCAGTTATGCCCAAATTCAATTAACCCTTGTATGTTGAACGTGCATGTTATAGTCAATTCTTGTGAGATGTATATACAAAGGGCAGTTCGGCATTAAAGGGTATGTACCGAAATGAAGCTGGTTTTGAGAATGTCGTTCAGCTGTGGGATGTGGTCCTCCAAATCATTCTGGGTAAGTTCATCCTCATTAGCAGCGTCCCTCCCTGACTCTGCCAATACATATGGTACATCATTCATTTATTGTTCACATGTAAGAACACCCAGGCCGCTCATTATTATACTAAGTTAATGTGACCATAACAGTTATGTAATACTAAGACGGTATACGAAATTTCTCAAAGGCAAAGTAAATCATCAGCTTATTATCGTACTGTATGAGACGTACAATGTTCTTACCATATTAATTCCACATATAAAACACCAGAGAGTATAATAATAATAATACATACAGCGAACAAAGGTCATCAGTTGTTCTCAAGGCAAGCGTGTGGGGATTCCAGCATTTCCAACCATATTATATCCCTGAGCTTAATCAATGAGACCCCCTGGCACCCTAATGACCAAACTGAAACAGTGTGTACACTGTCCTATTGACTCAATCCCAACAGCCACTTACGGTAAGAAGGTCCACTTTGCCCCATTAGAGGCTTGGCAACCGGAGCCTGTAGCAAGTGTGTCAGAGGTCTTGAGCCACTTTCACTGCAGTCTCACACGTGTTTGCCAATGTGTGTACTTAGCCTCACCAGGGCCAACGGTGGGTTATACAATACTCTGCCTTGTTTAGATATTGAGCTTGTGCCCCGATTTAACAGGTATTCTACTTATTTTCACCAGGGCCAACGGTGGGTTATAAACTACACTGTGGTTTGCATTCACCTTACACAAATTTCGTCCTTTGAATGTGCATACTAATACAAAATTGGTGGCGCTTGCTCTTATTGTGTGCCCAATCCATTTCCTCATTTAGCAGGTATTCACTTACCTGCAGGGAACTCTGCTATAAACATTATACTACAGACAGACTGAAACTCATGCATCCTTACAAAAGTACAGAGTGCGGGTAATGTGCTATGTGCGCGGTACGGGCTGTGGGTTTTTCGTGCTCCTCCTACACCAACAGTCACAGGGCTAAAAGACACAGAGAAAAGCAACCCTTCGAATTGGGGAAGAATAGCTGGCTGGACGTCCTGCCTCCCCGCGTGGCTCCCGCCAGCTAGCGTGTGTGTGGCCTGGTCGGGAAGAAAAACTCTAAAAATATTCCCGAATTCATTGGTCAAAGTGCGCCTGTACTCTAATTTATTTGGCTTGCTTTCATCAAGAAAGTGAATACACAAACGAGAGTGCGAATTTCAAACACATTTTTCTGGTTCGTCTGCTGCTATATATAGTTCCAGTGGGTTGGAAGTTGGGATTGCACAGCGGAAACAAGCAGTTTATGCAATTTCAGACTACAAGCCACAGACATGCACGCAAATTGAGTTCGGAATTGCATCTCTCGTAAGTGCTACAAGGTGCCGTGTCCAAATCTCCTGCTACAGTTGAAATGACCTATCAACTTTATTCCTATGTATGAAGAGGGCAGTAAATAGTGTAGAGAAACCAGAGTGTTATATGTACACAGAGGGCCAGGTCATTCCCAACGGTATATGTCATGCAGATGGTGTGAGAACCTGTGAGAGTGTTTTGACTGTCCACCCACACAGGCTGCACTGACTAGAGGAGGAAACTACAGTGACACAGCTCTCTTGCCTCCACACATACGGTGGGCACATGTATTTAACACCAGAGGAGAATGCTTTGACAGAAGAGGCACGTTGAAAATGGTCACCCCCTCCATTTATTGATCATAACAAGCTTCTACTTTTTGCCAAGATATATTGTATGTTTCCTGGGTGAAGCCTACCCCTGAACACAAGAAGCTCAGTAGTTATTGCCGTGGTAATGTATAAAGCATGTACGTATACTTAGGTTTAGGTGGTGGAGTATAACACAGGGTTCTGGGTAAGAGTAAGCTGAGAGAAAAACATGCTAGGAGCACTCTGCAGTCAGGGGCGGTATGTACAGGCGTTTTGGCCCGGGGAACCCACATTGTGCACGCTGGTACTCTGCTGCTAGCAATGTAGCACAGTCCCTGTGTAAACTGGGCAGCCCCAATGCACACTGCACATTGTTTCCCACAATGGTGAGTGTGTGAAGGCTAGAGATTCTGCCCGCAAAAATTTTAGCTGAATACAATACTCTGCCTAGGTCAGGAAGGCTTGAAAGGATAAG